CCTCAAACGACATCAAAAGCTGACATTCATCAGAGGAAGGTTATGCTCTCAGTGTGGTGGGATTTTAAAGGTGTCGTGTTTTTCGAGCTCCTACCAAGGAACCAATCAATTCGAATGTGTACTGTTGGCAATTGGACAGTTTGAATGAATCCATCATCCAGAACCGTCCAGAGCTTTTTAATTGTAAAGGAGCTGTGTTCCATCGTGACGACATGAGACCACACACAAGTTTGATCACCCGTCAAAAATTATTGGAACTTGGATGGGATGTGTTGCCACACCCACCATACTCGCCTGACCTTGTGCTGTCAGACTTCCACTTGTTTCGCTCTCTTCAAAACTCCTTGCATGGTATAATGTTCAATTCAGATGAGGCTGTAAATCAGCACCTTGTTCAGTTTTTTGCAAATAAAGACAGGTCCTTCTATGAATGAGGAATTATGAAGCTCACTGAAAGATGGCAAAAGGTTATATCGAACAAAACAGGCAATATATCATTGATTGATCTTTGTTCTTTATATAAATAAATGACCTTTGAAAAACAGACGAAATACGTCATGACTTTTCCAACGACCCAATACTAATGACCAGCCACATGTGAACACTGAGCACTTGAAATGTGTCTAATGTGACTTAATTTAATTTAATTTAAATTTGTTTAAAATTAAGTAGCCTCAATGGCTAGTGACTACTATATTGACAGCATAAGTCTACACTATTCAGTGGTCACTCTGTTATAGATAGCTTATTTTTCATCTATAAAATTAGGATTATCAAATCAAACCCATCATTTAAACATGCGCTGAAACTGTTTTTCTAAATCATCAGACTATCTTAATAGTTTGCCTCAAAATCTGCATTGGGGAATGCAGAACTTCTGTGAAATCCAAACTTCTTAGCAAAGCATCCAAAGTCTCCATAGGCTGGACCCAATCCTACCTCATCTATGTCACTTCCCAAGGTTCGTTATGTAACACTCTTGGTTATATTGCTTAGCATAAAACAACATGACCCTAAATTAAATTATTTGTTGAATGAGTTGATCCTGAAATAATAAAAATACTGTAATCTTTCACTCATCTACTTATTGATATTAGCATAATAATTGATTATTACATTATTTCTTTGTTCCAGGCACTATGTTAAGTGATTTCATACATTTCTTTTGTAAGCCTCATAGTAATTCTACAAATTATCTATTCATAGGCCACTTTTGCTATAAGGCAACTGATCTTAGAGAAATAACTTGCCCCTTGTTTCTACTGTCAGCTGATGGGGCCACTAGAATGTAAGGCCTTTGAGAGAGGAGGGTCCTACCTCGTTCACTCTGCCAGCCTCGTTCCTTGGGCATCCCGTTGATGTTTGTTGAATAAATATATGAACCAGGTTTTAAATCCCAGGTCTATCTACCTCCAATGTACTCATGTATTCTTGACCACAACTATGCTGCCTCACAATCAATTATTTCAAATTATTTGGAATTTAAGTGTCTCTAGAGCAGGGGTTGGCAATGTTTTTCTCTAAAGGGCCAGACACCGAACATTTTAGGCTTTGCAATTTATATGTTCTCTGTTAGAGCTACTCAGCTATACCACTGCCATGCAAAAGCAATGGACAAATGAGTGAGTAGAGCTGCATTTCAACATAACTTTATTTGCAAAAACACGCATGGCTGGATCTGACCCACAGACCATACAGCATGCTGACCACTGCTAACTATTAGCAAGTGGAAAAGTTCCATACGCTTTGCAAAGTCACATCCAATAATCTTGCAGGACAAATTCAGCCTGAGACTCCTGTTTTTCATCCAAACATCAATCCGGTATTTTGTATTATTTCTCTGTCACTTAGATTCTTAGAAGAAGGATGTTTGATTCTCTTGCACAATTCTCTTGCAATCCCATTAGTGAGAAATACCCTAGAGGCCAGGCTGAAAGTCACATCCACTAATAAGGGTAATCATTTCTAGTAGGAGCTCTGATTCATTTCCCAGATGCCAGCACACAAATGGAATTTTTGCTTACACCAGATCTCAGACACTTGCACTGACTAGCTGAGATGTATTTTGTCAAACGAGGAATAAGTGATATCTGGCCTTTAAAAATACAGAATCCAAGGATGACTTTAGAGTTCATTGGAAATGAGTAAAAAACAAAATACAGGATACAGGAGGGAATCGAGGAGCCTGTTTCTAAGCACAGCTCGATGTTGAGATCATATCAGTTAGGTCTTGTAATAATGCTTCAGTGCAGGCATTTTATGTTTTCTTTCTTTTTTTTTTCCTGTTTTATTTTGCTCATGTTGTTGGAGTTCACCTAACTGATGGGAACTAAGTTCAGGTTTCAAAAATAAATTTGGTTGTGAATCTCCTTTTGTTTCAGCTTGATGAACTCTACTGGGATCCATCCACATGTCTAAGTACCTGTGCAGATGTTGTCTATCCATATGAATCATAAACTCCCAGGAATCACAGAGTTCCAGCTAGAAGGGTCCCAGGCATGAGGCCCAGGCTGTTCCGAGTCCACTCTCCTGCCAGCTTGTTTCTCACCTAAAGCCATCATTTGTGACTGTAAGCGTGAATGCCCCTGGTCAGATGGGGACATAAAGGGAAGGGTGGACCCGGCCTTTGATGAGCAGTGAAGGAAGAATGGCGGGGAGGGGCAGCTGGAATAAGGAGCCGGGGAGTCAGTCCTTGACAAATGGCAGACATAAAGTCAGATAGAGGCCTGAAACACAGCTCCTGCTGATTGTTGCATTGAGGAAATGCCTTGGGGTTTCAAGTCCAATTTTTGAGAATTGGTGTGAAAATTCCTGAGTTGTAAATATCAGAAACTTCTTGTTTTTCTCTCCATGAGGAAAAGGCCAAGCTTCCTCTAAATGCCAGCTGCAGCTGATCTGATGGTTATTTGCTTCTGATCTCTGCTTTAGCTCTTTAAGACTGTTTTAAGTTTTCTGGATCTTCTCTCAACTATAAAGAAAATAATCTTGGGAGTGGTAAGAAAGTCATTATTAATAGACCTTTTTGTTCCAGAAAATCACTAACCACAAAAGACCACCCTGTTCTCACTTGTTACAAGGTAAGACCCACTTTCACCCTTCCTCATAAGACTTCTCTCCATCCTTCACCCAACTCCCAGTACCCAGGGTTGACCCCCTTGTCTACTTGCCCTGTCCACTCACTTCTATGAAACCCTAGGCCCTTTTTTTCTTTGAGATATTACTGATCAATGGTCTCCCTGTTACAATAAACTGAATACCATCGTTTCCTTAATTGTCTGGTGCACTTTGTCTTTCTCACCTGTGTACTTAAGTTTCCACATAGATTAAAAAAAAATACAATTACTACTAATAGCCTCCTAATAGGATAGTTATGAATTTTAAATGCACTTGGCATTTAAGTGCTTAGCAAGATACTTATACACAGTAAGTGCTTAATAATTGTTACTTATTTTTACCCGTAGTGATACATTTGCATAGCAATTTATGCTTTACAAAATAATGTCAAAATTGCTTTCATTTAATCATTGACAATTATCCTCAAGACAGATATTATTTGTTCCCATTTTATAGATTAGAAAACTGAGAAAGATCCTCAGCTCACTCAAACTATCTACCTAAGGCGCAAAGCTGGTATTCCAACACATGGTATTTTTAACCATTGTGTAACTTAGAGATAGAGCTAAGTTTTCAAGGTTAGCTTTGAAGAAAAGGTAGAATCTCATATTGGTTTCCTATTTTCCCTCTTTCAAGGCATTTTAATACATGCTGTCACCTCAGTAGGGTGTGATATGAGCAGGCCACTCCACCTCTGACAACACACTGATCTTAATGCTGCAAAACAGCTGAATAGTGGCCTGGTCTCTCCTAGGCCACAGGAACAAGCCCTGCAAATGTCCCCATTATCGATTTGCCTGCAGTGCATCTGTTTGGAACAGGAACGCTGCCTGCATCCTGCAAAAACCAGCCTGTCTCTCGTGTGCTGACTGCCACTGCTTCAGCCTTCGAAACGTGCCTGGAGTTTAGAAGATTTAGTGACAAAAAAAATTAACTATCAAAGTAGGTTTGAAAACTTCCTTTTTATAAAACCAATTCATTTAAATTACTTATTTATGAGCATGTGTACACTAGTATCTTTTTTTACTACAATATCAATTTTAATCTATTGTTAATCTAATGAGCCCTAAAAACCATACTCAATGCATCAGACGTTTACTGATTGCTTCGCTCTCTGCCAGACATGCACAGAATGGCAGGATGCAGTCAAACAACCAGGCCTGCGAGGTGCAGGAAGTATAATTGGGTAAGTGCATGCGTTCCTATCTTCCTCCTCTCTCCCTCCCTCCCTCCCTGTCTTCCTCTTTCCTTTCCTCCTTCCTTAAACTATTTATTTAGTATCTACTGTGAAGCAGACACTGAGTGTATATTGGTGAATGTATTAGACATAGTCTCTGTCTTATAGAGTCTTACAATCTGATTGAGAAGATGAATAATAAATAAGTAAACACGATTTTAAAGTGCCCTTTCAGGCTATGATACACAAGCATACTGAATGCCAGCAGAATGGTGCCGTGTTCCATGTGGCAGATGCTAATTGCACAGGAGCTAAAAGTCATGTTGTGTCCCCTTCACCTTTGTTAGATGGCCGCAGATCCCTCTTATGCTGAAGCATGGACCATCACAATGGCTTATTGGCGTGGTTTAGTTGGCACTTTCTCTTACACATTCCGTTGCTTCGAACAGAAGCACTACTTATCTTTCTCATCCCTTTCAGAGGAAAGGTTTTTTTGTTTTTGTTTTTGTCCATCTGACCCTCCAAAGCATTCTATTCTGTGCAGATGTTGGTGGCAGGATGTTAGAGAGTTCCCTGGCAAAAGAACAAGTCTGTCTTTCTAACAAAAACAAACAAACAGCCAAATGTGTAGGAGACGCAGACTTGAAAATAGCTCAAGAAATTAGGCTATCTGGCTTTTATTAGAAATCTAGTCTTCCATTCAGGGTGGAGTTGTCATTACTACAGTAAGAAAAGTGGGTTCTTCTCTTTCAGGCGAACAGTTTTCTCTGGGATTCAGGGGCCCTCAGTGGCCGATCAGCAGTGTGAGACAGAAACAGGAAGAACCTGAGAAAAAAATCCTATGTATTGGACCCTACAAGACTTTTCTGTTTTTCCTTTTTTTCTCTGAGTGATAATCTCAGAAGCCACTCAACTACAGCAACCAACCCAGAATAGGTTTTGCAAACAATATGAAAAAGGTCTACCAGAAATCAATTATCCCCTTCCACTTAAATAAGAAAGAGTAAAAATCCAGCCATTTTGAAATGACAATAGCGAATATGACTCTAAGTTGTGTTCAGAATGAGCCAGGTCTTAAGTTATATGAATTGAGAGAGCCATCTGTCTATCGCCTCTTAATCACAAGAAACACAAAAGCAATCTCTGGCATTTATCAACCACAGTATGTTTCTTAGTGTTTTCATGTAGACCTTGCATTGTATGCTTGGATGTGAATTTGCAAATGTGCTGTCAGTCACATATATCAACAGTTTGAATTTAAATAGTGTGAAAGACAACCTGGGCTGCATCTTACCAGAAGGTAGGTGTCCTGCTTGCCCACTTTCTCTTCCCTATGTTCCTTTACTCATCTGCATCTCCCCCCTCACCTTTACCTTTCGAACGATGACAGCATTGCTTTCCTTGAGGACAAACAAATACCAAAAAGTAGGATGACCAGGGTGGAGGAGACAACACAGGGGAACCACTGCTTCGGCACCTGAGGCTACCATGACTTCTTTGGACCACAAAAAACTGAAGTGATAACTTAAGAACAGGGAAGGCACAGTAAGGCTACAACTAAGTTTTCCAAGGTCAGAAGAGCTTATGTTATTATAAAAGTAAAAACATAACCGTTGTTCAAAAAACAAAAACAAAAAACAAACAAACAAAAGACAATACTATAAATTTTGAAGAAGGAAAAATCACTAGTAAATCTCTTAGGGAAAATCACTGCTAATATTTAATATTGGTTTCCAGAATTTTCTCCATGTTTGCATATTGTTGTGCATCCTTTTAAAAAGTTTATTATTTTTCTAAAATCTGCCTTTTAAATTTTTTCCATGACAATAAATATATATGTGTTTCATCATTGTTAATGAACACATATTGCACATACCTACAATAATTTATTTAATAATGCCCCTTGTTAATGGTCAATAAGGTTCCTGATATTGCTTATTTAAAAGCATTATCAGGGCTGGCCAAGTGGCGCATTGGTTAAGAGCTGGCTTGGGACGCCAGAGGGCCCCGGTTCGGATCCCACATATGAGGGCCAGTGACACTGCCCTCTATAGCTAATATGCTGAACAACAGCTCAACCTGGAGCTGGGCTGCCCTGAGTCACCGGCAACCGCAGATGGGTTGCCATGGGCTACCGTGTGTAGCCAGCAGCCAGCGTGAGCGGCCAGCAGCCACTGTGAGCGGCCATCCAGAAACCGGTGACTGATCTGCCTCGCCAGGGAAGAGTGCAATGATGGTGCCAACTTGGGCCAGTGAAGCAACGTCCTCCACAACTAGACTGAAGAACAAAAAGACAGCAACTTGTTTGTTCCCATCCCCCAATTCCCCAATAAAAATCTTTAAAAATAAAGCATTATCAGCCCTATATCATTCTAAGTGATGCAGTCATCTTAGTGAGAACTGTTTTATTGCGATGGGGTGAAGCCTAACTGGTAGACTAAAGAGTGAGTTAACAGAGATTCCATGTTCATGGGATGGATGACCTAAGAGAAATAGCCTGGAGGATTGAGGAGGCTAAGGGAGTGTTGGGAGTATTTTTGTTTTTTAATGAGAAAGACTTGATAATATTTAAATGAAGGTGAAAAGAGCTTAGGAGTGAGGAGGAGGATGAATACAGAAGACAGAACTGGTAATCATACTCTGATTGCTAAGCAGGTAAGATAAAATGGGATCCAAAGCACGGGGGAAAGAGGTGGCTTTAAATTCAGTAAAAACGGTCCTTCTGCGTAACACGTGAGAAGGAGAAGAGTTGGTGTGATGCTTACAATGGTCTTTATGAATAAATAATAAATTATGAACATCCTTGATGGAAGGGATGGCATGAACATCTCCTGCAGCATTCTGCATAAGGAGGGAAAGCTGGAGTTTTGGAGATTACCTGGGAGGCCATGGAATTACTGCCAACAGCAGGTGATAAGAGCCTGAACCAAGGTGATCATGCTGCAACCAGAGAGCAAAAAGAATAGAATTTCAAGGAAATTCCTAGTTTATTCAGATCTTTTTCATTGCTCACTAAACATCAACCAAAAGATAATAGTCACTGCTTTCTGCTTCCACTCTCATTCCTGAGCATTAAGCATACTCCCTATTTGGGGGGTTCCAAGTCACCCAAGTCTCAGCTCACATGCTGCCTGGCTTCTCTGCTTTGGCCACTTGGAAGTGAGCATCTCCACCTCAGAGACCTCTTACCTTATCAGTAAGAATTTATTTTACATTACCTCTCTCTTGTTCCTATCATTTCTTACCTTGAATTATAATGACCTATGTTCCAGTTTCATCTTCTCCATGAGATTATACAACCCTTGCTTCTTATCATCTTTGTTTTTCCATCCTTGTGTCTCCCTCTCCGCTTCATAGCACAATGTGGTACTGCTAGGCTAACATGTGTTTAACCAATTAGGCACAAGCATTTCAAAGAACACCTTGAGTGCCTGGTTTGGGTGTGAGAGGAAGAAAGAAAGAGATTATCAAAAATGATTCTTAGGTTTTGAAACTGAGAGACCAGAAGACAGATGGTCATCGCTGATAAGAACGGGATAATTGCGAATGATAGCTTATTGGGGGAAGATAATTAATTTGTTTGGGCTTGGTTGAGTTTGGGAAGACTTTGACACTAAGCAGGGAACTGAATTTCTGACACTGCATTAGGTGACTGCAGGCAGGGAGGCCCACACTTAAGCAGACAGAGTACCTAGTCTCCAGCCAGCCAGATTACCTGCAGATCCAGGTGTGGTCAGGCTAATCCCTCAACCTCTCCCAGTCTGATCTCCCTTACCCTTCCAATAAAGATAATGGAGAAAACAAATACTCTATCTCATAGGCAGTAATGACGAGGAAATAAGATGGCTTTTGTGAAAATACTTTTTAAAGCTTTATAGGATGTTTTGCGTGTCAGTTGTTATTATTATGAAATGTCCCCCAAAATTATTTCCTGTGAGAAATAGAGTGAGCTCTGAAGCCAGATGCCATCTGTAGTGCTTACTTCATCGGGTTGTTGTTAGGATTAAATAAATTAATAGATGTAAGTTCCTTACGACAGTATCTGGCACATGATGAATGCTCAAATAAGAATAAAACACTTCCTACCATGCTCATTGTTATTTTTACACAGATCTGTGAACGGAATGAGAATAGAGTGGGGAATGCATTTGTAGAAAGGCTTACTGATTAAATAAGATAAGAAACAAGATCTGACTGGGGAAATTTCCTCAAGTGGGTTATTTGGGAAGCAGTAGATCTCACCCACATGGCGTGTTTTCTTAAGAACCAGTTTAATTAGAGTTCAAAATCACCCATTTCTCTCATACAGCTCAGGGAAATGTGGTCTTGTTGTCTCTTTCTGGAAGCACTGGAAAATGTTTTTCTCAATATTCAAAGAAGGCAAATAAAACAAAACCTGAGGTGTGGCAGAAGTACTGCCTGCTAACTCTTCACATGCCTAAGTCCCTCACTGAGGAGAGCATTCGGGGAAGGGGCTTTACTTTGTGGTTTCTGATTCTATCCTCCAGAGCCCATTTATTTTACAATAGGCAGATTCCTAGGAAACCAAGCAGGGGCTGTGAGCCAACTGGTTGTAGGTGGAAGGCTGGAGAGGAAGCTGCAGGAAACTGAATGCCAGGGATTCAGGACCAGCCCCTCCCTCCTCAGTCACCCACCTCAAAGTGACATGTCATCTGTGGAAAGGTTCTCCTATGTACACTGAAAGTTTCCCCAGATTTTGAGTCTTCAAAATAATAATTTAGAAGCTTTCATCATGATATCTCTTGCAGTGAAACAGTAAATGAAGATCAACTTACAGGCTGTCCTTGTGAGCTCTCACCTTCAAACGAGAGTTGGCTGGGAGCTGTTCTTCTAAATTTAGCCTTCCAATGGGAGGCCAACCAAGTCCCCATGTGGCCAAATGAGTAAGCGTTGGCCATAGTGACTTGTTTTTTCTGTAGTGATCTGAAGAGACTTCAAGTTGATTGGCTTCAGAAAGATCTGCCCTTTTCAATTTGTTATTTCTCTCACAGCCATTTTGTTGTGAGCAAGAGATAAAATAAATAGAAACCTCTAGTTGCTTTCATCCAAAGATCAATGTTGAAAAAAAGAAAGAAAGAAAAAACGGGGGAAAAAAACAAACAAAAGAAAGAAAGAGGAAAATTCAAAGCAAAACAAATATCTCTAGGCAACTATTTCTTTAAAAAAAAAAATCCCTATTAACAAGGCCTATGTCCAGAACACTTTTGATTATTGCAGTATATATGTTTGCTGTTTTGCTTTGTAACTGAACACATGCTTCTGGTATGACAGTCCCATGAATATGCTGTTAATTGCTTCAAATTCACCAGTTTTTCAAATACAATGCCCCAGCCAGTTGCCTCCCTTAATATGATACAGTAGTCTTCATCTGTAGGGGATACATTCCAAGACCCCCAGTGGATGCCTGAAACCAGCGATAGTACTAAACCCTATATATGCTATGTTTTTGTTTTTTCTTTGTTTTCTTTTGTTTTTCCTATATGCACATACTCTTTTCACTTAAGGAATGACTTTACAGCTTCTCTTCGGCACATCTGAATTGCCAGCATCACTACTTTTGCACTTGGAGGCCATTATTAATTAAAATAAGGTTTACTTGAACACAAGCACTGCGATACCGAGACAATCTATTGGATAACTGAGACAGCTACTAAGTGACTAATGGGTAGGGAGCATATACAGCATGGAGATTGTGCAAATGGATTGTTTATATCCTGGGTGGGACGGAGTGGGACAGCTCAAGATTTCATTATGCTGCACAGAATGGTATGCAAAAGTTATGAGTTGTTTATTTCTGGAGTTTTCCATTTAATATTTTCAGACCTCAATTGATCATAGGTAACTGAAACCATGGAAAGTGAAACACCATAGATAAGCATAGGGGGACGATTGCAGTTAATTTTATGTGTCAACTTAGCCGGGGCACAATGCCCAGATGTTTGGTCAAACATTATTCTATATGTTTCTGTGAAGGTATTTTCTAAATGAGATTAGCATGTAAATCAGTAGACTTTGAGTAAAGCAGATTACTTTCCATAATGTTGGTGGGCCTTATCTAACCAGTTGAAGGTCTTAATAGAAAAAAGGCTGACCTCTCCAGAGGAGAAGGAAATGCTACCAGAAGACAGCTATTGGACTCTAAATGCAACATCAACAATTCCCTGGTTTCCTGCCTGCCAATCCATTCTACAGATTTTTGCATACAGAGGGTGCCAAAAACATGCATACACATTTTAAGAAAGGAAAAAAAAACTGTATTAAAATTGTAATACTCAATACATACCGATAACAAAAGATGAATGCAAGTCATGTGTATACATTTTTTGGCACCCCTGGTATGTCGTATTGAATGTTCTTTAAGGAAGCTAAGATGGGGTGAGTGCAAGTTGGAGCAGCCTGCTGTTATAGTGTCAACCAGAAGGATGTTGCCCCAGGAGCTCCAAGCCTCCAATTTTGAGAAATATGGAACCTGTGAGATCAGGGAGGAAGTGACTCATACAAATCACATTTCATATGACCTGTGGCAGGTGTAGGGGAGGAAAATGGTTTCCTCAACCTTCTTAGCATCCCTGGAAAGGTCTGAAAATTAAAGTGATAAACAGAACAGGAGAAATGCATACAAGTTAATTTAAGTTTTACTTGACATGGGAACAATGGGAACACAAAGAAAAAGACCTAATTATTTTCATGCTAGGTTTCATGAAGAGTGGAGGAAGATGATAGGTCACAGGGTATGAGGGAAATGCAGCCTGTTTGTTAGGCTTCTTCTTGGCATCCCTTTGTCTTCTGAGCTAAGGATGCTATTTCCTCAGGAATAGGAAGGGTACTTCTCAGATGAGGGTCTATGACCTGCCTTGGAGAAGAGAGGAGGTCAGAGTGACCTTTCTGTTTCTGCCATTCTCTCAAACTCCTTCAACTTAAAATATTCAATATGTCAATGTGCCATATTTTGGGGTAACATATCCTGAAGCTCATCGAGGGGTTGGTGCTGACTTGGATGTGGGGGACTCTCTGTTTCCTTTTTTCCATTGCGTTGATCAGCAACAGGACAGTGACAAAGGAGAAGACAGAGCCGAGAAGATGTGGGAGATAAGTGAACAGAGAAAGAAAAAGAGGAAAGGGAAAGAAAATAGAAAGGGGCTCAAGGGTGGAAGAGAAGAGAGAACAGAGTGGTGTTGATCCCAGAGACACTTTAAAGGATAGATGACTGCTGTGTTTGCATTTGTACCATTGCCACTCATCCATTTACCCCACCCCCTTCCTTCTTTAGAGGTTTATTATTATTATTATTATTATTAGTTTTTAATTTAAATTTTTATTCTCTGGTCTCTGAACTAAAAGAAGGGAGGGGCATTTAAATGTGGATTCAGGTCGTCCCTTGGAAGTCAAGGGCCCCTCAGGAATCTCTCCCCAGGGGGCTTCAGGTCCTAAAACACAAAAGGCTCCTTCAAAGCTGCCCAGCAAGGGCCTCATTTACCCTAATCTGGAAGCTGTGGCCCCCGCCCTGCCCCCAGGGTCTGACAGCCCAAGACACAGAAATTCCAAGACCAAAGAGAAAACAAAATAATCCTCAGCTCTGTGTCCTGACTGCCAGTGGTAGTAATCCTGAGAAGAGTCTTTTCTCTCCAGAGAGCCCTCACTATGTAGACTCCAAATGTTCCCTTCATGAGAAAGGTGTCAGCGTAGGGTCTGCTCCGTCATGAGATCGGAGTGAGCCTTTCTACTGGAAGGAGGACATGGAAGAATGAACAGGCGAGAAGAATGCCACTGTTCTAGAATCAGATCTGAACACTGTGATTAGTATTCAAATCCTTTGAAAAGAACTATGAACTCTTTATAGGAGCCAGTGAAAAGTATAGAAAAGGTTGTGCTTTCCTTCTTCTGGAAAGGGTTTCTTCCTGATTCATTTCTTAGTCCTGCTTCTTTTTGCCTTTATCTCACTGTTTTCCTGCTTTCTAAGAAGGGGATTCTCCGGACAAACTAGAAATGCAGTACTCCTTCACGGCGTGAATGGTCACTAAGATATTACTTTTCACCCTCATTGTCTATATTGAGCTCTACTCAGGCTGGTGGCAACTGGTCAGAGGAGTTTGGGTTTTTAAGTATCTGATTGATGTCACACTTTGGGTTAAACCAGAGGGAAGGAAAAACCAGCCCAGGGAACTGTGTGCATTTAGATCTTTATCAATATTTCTCCCTTCCTCCTATAACCCTCACAAAATTTGCCCTCGAGATCGCTACCTTTAATAAAAAGAGAAACATTTCATTTTTGTCCATATCTTTTTCAACTGGTTTGTGTTCACTGAGCTTCGGTTGCAAAGCTGAGCCATGCTTTGAAAATTCCAGGTGATCTACAGTATTTCATTCCACCCTGTGTACTAAACATTTGTTCCTTCTGTGGTAGGCCGAAGGCTCCTCTGGGATCCTTCTCTGAATGTTATTTTGGTTTCTTGCTAGAATTCTGATTTTCTTACTGTAAGCAGAAAGAACAGGACCATGGGGAGAGAGGGGCGAGGAAGGGAAGGAGGAAATAAAGGAAAACAAAGAAGGGAAAAGATGAGATCATTCCGAAGAAGAGCTACCAGACTGGCCAGAGCTCAATTTTGGTGGCTGAGAGCAGACCCAGGACGCCATCTTGTCCCTCAAGGTGAACTTTAGCTAACTGTAATGAATTATAATATTATTTGCATTACAGGGAGGACAAATCTCCACCCCTCTGTCTCCATGACAGTTCTGATTAAGGCCAAACAAAGGAAAAAAAGAAAAAGTCCCTTCTCCTGAAAGGAAGGAGTGGTCAGCAAAGACCCGCTTGGGAACGCCTATAATGCCACCCCTAAGTCTTGAATATTTCACACCCTCATTTTGAAAATAAATTCCCAAGCCCCAACCCTGTTTGCTGCAGTGGTATTCTCCCAGCCTGCCCACTCCCACACTTTCTTTCAACGAATTCACCACTTGCTTGGCTTATTCAGTGTGCCTTTGAATTATCTCCTGTGGTGAACTCGTTCATTGGCAACAATTTAGCTGTGTGAGTGTGTGTGTGAGTGTGTGTGTGTGTGTGTGTGTGTATGTGTGTGTGTGTGTGTGTGTGTGTATGCACACACTCATGTTCACACAGCATCCACTGTACCAGTACCGGACGGACAGCTTCCATCAAAGGGTTACTGAAAGAGGACTAATTAAATTACTCTCCTCCTTTTAATTTTTTATAAAGAATTTTTGTTTCTGCCGTAGTGACAATTAGATTTCATTTTTCATTAAAAAAAAAAATGTTCACACTCCAAACTACCTGCATTGGGTTTGTAAAAGATACTGGAAAAGCCAGGAAGTACACTCAAGTTAGGTTTGATGCTGAAGGGCCCAGTCCTCCTTCAGAACAAAGGAGCCCTCGATTTATACACCTCTATAGGCCAATTTTAGCAAGTTCAATCTTTCCATTAACCCCTGGCAGCCATAATGACTTCCTAATACCAGTTAATTAACAAATACTGGTGTGCCACCAAATGGAATCCTGGGAGTGTCTTTGGTGTAGTCCCAGGTCTGCTAAAATGAAGTGTGAGCCACTCTTTGTTCTCCCCATCACTTGTCTTATGGGCTCACAGCACTTTGAATCTCAAATGAGCGGTCTAATTAATCTCTATGACTCTCCTGTGGGATGGAAAGGGTCTGTCCATTATCTACACTTTGCAGATAGTAACAATTTTATAGGGCTTGGCTGTGGTCACTGGAGAATTAGCATCTGAACCAGAATTAAATTCCCAGTTCCTAAACCCCTCTCCTCTTATCCCGTTCCCTAGACAACATCATTTCA